TGAGGCTGTTCTGTGCTAGCAATCTGGAAAAAAATTCATCCTTAGAAAGGCTGGTTAGTTTGTTGGATTTATGTCAGAGGACAGCATGCGAGTCAGTAAAAACAAAACCAAAAAAACCCCACATAACTACCGATTTTGTTTTCCCTTCCGTAAGCGGACAGAACGAAACCAAGTCTCCCTATCTCTTCTGTAATACATTAATTTAATGGGAAGTCTACCTAAAAATTCCAATTCCCACTTCATTTTGCTCCTCCTTGAGGGTATGTCTCCTATATGAGGACAGTGACGCTACAGAAAGTTAACATAATTGTATTTTCGAATGACTACTAGCTACTCAGTTTGTTTTAGTAAGACAGAAGCATATTCTGTTATTACCAAAAAAAATGTGTTGTTGAAAGTGTAGAAGTTTAGAAAGACAGAAGTAATAAAATATCCTGATATATTTAACATACCTTCAAGGTTTTACACAGAAGAGAAAGCATCTATAGTAAAAGTAGTAACATTGTAACACTCACCAACACATTTTTCAGCCAGTTCTCCTAAGAAAGGATCTGACAGCTTGGGGTTCCAATCCCTGGTATGAATTTGTAAAATGTGCTTCCGTGCCTAATATAAAAAACAGAAGAAAAAAAAAAGAAAAGAAATATCAAAATTAGCAAGACAATTCCATGTCACAATATTTTTAGACAAAAATATTATTTATTCATGTGAATGTAAAATTATTTTACCTCATTTTGACACGTCGCTGACATGCATAAAATAGAACTTAGCACTCAAAAGTCTCTCAAGAGCAAAGGTTTTCCTTTCTTTTTTAATATCATGTATGCACTGTAATTTTTTTCAATATAGCAGTTGCACATTTTAATTGTCGTTTAATCAACATCATTATACATTAACTGATCAAACCTCATGTTCTATGAGGAATTATAATTTTCTAATTTAATTTTTAATTGCTGCACCTATGATTAACAGATTCTACTGACAAATGTCTCACCAATTAATTTATTGCAGAGTAGCATACTACATAAACATGAACTCCAAAACTATTTCATTTTAAAATTCTACAGAATCCAAACACACCTATCAATATGCAAAGTAAATTTAAAGTATAAATTCATGAAATATTATGGCTGATATTACAGAAGTCTAGAAAAAGGAAATGTTCCTGTTGTCTGGCTTTGTGTATACAACTGTTACGTGCTTAGCAGTCTACATGTCAATAAAGCTGTTTTCTCTTACCATAACTTCCAAAACCCCAGCAGTTAGGGGTCATTATACAAATCCATACAAACCCACAGGTTTTAGATCAGCAATTCAGTTTAATGCAAACGATTTATCTCTCTGTTTAGTTTTAACTATATTCTGAAGATTTGAAGTTCAGTACAACTTTACGTATACAATGCATTTTTACTAAAAATATCTTTATAAAATTAAACATTCTTACAAGTAAGAATGCATTTTATTACTTCATAAGCTTGGTTGTCAGGCATTCAAATTTTTATTATTAATAAACATTTCTAGTATATATGTCCTCCGTAAAGTTTTACCTTTTGATCAGGCAAGTTGAAAAGAAATTCCCTGTCAAAGCGACCAGGTCTCCTGAGTGCAGGATCTATAGAATCCAGTCTGTTTGTAGCACCAATTACAACTATTTCACCTCTATTATCCAGTCCATCCATTAGGGCAAGAAGAGTAGACACTATAGAGCTAAAAGAGAGTTTTCAAAAAAAGAATATGTAGGGAAGACTGCCAGAATTTTTGCTTTGTTAACTGCAAAATTCATAGTTTCAAAGGAAAAAAGCTAAGTCAAAAAAAAAAAAAAAACAGTTGCACAACTCTTTCAAGTTTCAAAACAAGGAAACTTTTAATATCATCTGTATTATACTTAGTATTATGACTCCAGCAGGGATTACATCCTTTAAATGTTTTGGGAAATGTGGGCTCAGGAAGCCATTTACTGAACAGAGTATGCATCGTCCTGTTTAGAGCAACTATAGTAGAAGAAAACTGAATCAAGCAGAAAGCTGCATCAAAGCAAAGGTTCCCATAACCTCCTTGTCTGCTGGCTTCAAAATTCCCTTCCTGACGCCCTCATTTAAACAGAGGGAGACATACACACAAATGCCACCATGTATAGAATGAAAGATAGAAGTGCATTGCCCTGAAAAGCACAGTAACACTGAGATTGAAGGCAGACAGGAAAAATCTCAGCCAGCAGAAAACTGATGTAAAAAACATTTTAAAAAAATGACACAATAGTAACTCAAGATAAACTTGCACACCCAGAAAATGATAGGGCTGTCCAGTTCATTTACAGAGCGTTACAATTCATCAGTTTAGAATTAACGTTTTTTCTGTTCTTCTGTTGGACTGGTAACAGACAATCTGTTTACACTACAAAACCAGCAACCAGAAGAAAGGCTGTGGAAATCTTAAAGTTAATAATGTGGTTGAAAGGTAATCTCCACTACAATTCCATTCCCAGCAAATTACAGTCTGCCTGAAGAACTGAAATGGTGACTTTTGATGCCAGAAAAAAATCAACAATCTGTTCTTTCCATTGTAAGTGGACTTACACAAAAGTAAAAACCTTTCTTGAGAACTGAGTAAAATTACACTTGAAGAGTTTACCAAGATAGTGTAAGATCTACCAAGATAATGGTAGCATACAAGAAATATTACCTGTGAATCTGATCTTGTCTGCTAGAACGGACTGGAGCCAAGCCATCTATTTCATCAAAAAAGATTATAGAGGGTCTCATCAAGTATGCCTGGTATGCAATGGAAAAAAACAAAAATTCACTGTTAATTCATAATTGATCCATCAACATTGAAAAACCATTTTATTATAAAGCATTAACACGCTAAACTAACACAGGTATTGAGACACCTTTGTTGAAAAATATCCAGTCTGAAAATAAAACCAAATTTTCAACTACAGCACTGTTTCAAAGCAAAAAGGACTGCATTCTCCTCTGAATAAGCAAGATGGCACCAGTGTATCAGTTTTACTGTGTGTTGGAGAGATTAGAGACAAACGGAGCTGTCTTATACTCAGTCACAGAGAACAGTATCTTATCTGCTCATAAACTGTTTGTTTAGACACCTGTGTCTGAAAACTGCATTTCACTGCTGTATGTGGCTCTCTCTTCTGTCCACCACCTTCCAAGCCAAATAAGGACAATAAAATACACACAACTGATGCAATCCTGCATCCTTCTCTATGTAGCATTTACCTTGAACATGCCAGTCAAACTCAAACTCACTGATTTAATTTTTTTTTCCCCAATTTTTACCCAAACTACTTTGTCTGTTTCATTAATGGACAAATCAGGAGACTTCTTCCTCAGATTTCAGGGCAAGAAAAACTGCTGTCAGCATTCCTTTATTTTTACATCTAAACACATAATTTGGACAAATCCTGTCCAATTTATGAAGATTTAGTTATCTAGTTTCAACTGCAAATAACTTTGGCTGCCTAAAACAAACAAAGAAACAAGTAAACAAACAACGTACAGACAAATTATGAAAAATACGTATTTTCCTCTAACCTGATCAAAAAGGAGTCGAAGCTGACGTTCAGATTCACCAACCCACTTACTGAGACAGTCCGCTCCTTTCCTCATAAAGAAAGCCACCTTTTTGTCTCCTTGACTGCATTCATTAGCTAGAGCTCTAGCTACCAAGGTTTTACCTGTTCCAGGAGGACCATAGAATAAACAGCCCCTGAAGATAAATGGATCAACACAGTCACAAACTCATTTTATGTCTCCTGAAAAACTCCAAGTCAAATTTTATAATGAAGACAGGGAGCCTGGAGAAGAAAGACTGAAGTTCTATTATTATTATTATTATTTAGTGTATTCAACATAATTCATAACATGTTTGGTTTATGCTTCAAATCAGTAAACCTTTGCTTTGTAAAAAACATTAATCAAAATTATATTACGCTTCCATAGGATTTTTTTACACAAGCAAAATACTTCCTCAAAAATTAAATCTTAGGTAATACTTGAATCAGTGTCTGTTACTTCTTTGGAGTATGCGTATCCATCTAAATCACACGCCAAAACTCCTGATAAATATTAAAACCACAATGTAACATTATTCAGATTACTTCTATAAAAGAAACATCAGCATTTATCCCGATTTACTAAAATATTTGGTAACATAATGGAAGAAAGGCAAGGTACTACTAAATAGAACACTTTGGAATTCTTTCTTTGATCAAATCACCAAGTTTAACTTCCTACCACAAGAAAAATAAACTAGAATTTTGTAACTCTTTATCCCACTTATTACATTCTGATAGACAAGTGGGGTAGCAAACATGTATGTCTATTTGAACTGAAAACACTTCAGGGAAAGAATCAATCTCCTATGGGTTTTCAAGACAAGCATTCTTCAGAACTTAATAAAATGAAATACAACAGTAAAAGTAAATACACCTACCTTGGTGGCTGAATTTTGAATTTTTCAAATATTTCTGGATAGAGAAGAGGAAACACTACCATTTCCTTAAGTGCAAGGATATGATGGCTCAATCCCCCTATACTATCAAAACGCACCTTAGGAAGAAAAACAAAGCATACAAAGCATGTACTGAAACACCTTTCCACAAAAGTACCTTTACTTACAGAATTATAGAATCATAGAATGGTTTGGGCTGGAAAGGACATTAAGATCATCTAGTTCCAACCTCCCTGCCATGAGTAGGGATGCCTCACACTAGACCATGTTACCCAAGACTGTCCAACCTGGCCTTGAACACTGCCAGGGATAGAGCATTTACCACTTCTTTGAGCAACCTATTCCAGTGCCTCACCACCCTCACAGTAAAGAACTTCTTCCTTAGATCTAATGTAAACTTCCCCTGTTTAAATTTGAACCCATTACCCCTTGTCCTGTCACTACAGTTCCTGATGAAGAGTCTCTCTCCAGCATCCTTGTAGGCCCCTTCAGATACTGGAAGGCTGCTCTGAGGTCTCCACACAGACTTCTCTTCTCCAGGCTGAACAGCCCCAACTTTCTCAGCCTGTCTTCATATGGGAGGTGCTCCAGCCCCCTTACCACCCTCATGGCCCTTCTCTGGACTTGCTCCAATAGTTTCATGTCCTTTGTATGTTTAAGACACCAGAACTTTGAAAATAAATTACAAACAACACTGCATTGATCAAGAGGAGTTCCATGAATTCTGAAAGTGTAAAAGAAGTTGAGAAAGTCAACTCTTGCCCACATGAGGTTTATTTTGCTTGCAATGTAACTGTGCCAGGGATACATGGACACCTACAGAGACCCAGGCTAAGGCTGAGAACAGCTTTGGAAAAAGTCGGAGATCAATGAGCTCATTATGAATTTACTTCAACTCTAATGAGAGGCTGTGGTGAATTATGGTTATGCATAACTGGGGGAAGGAAAATAAAAAGTTCTAACAAAACCTACCGATTTATCAACAATCATAGGGTCAACATCAGCCAAACTTGCCCCAACTTTCACACGTTCTCGCAGGATTCCACTGGCTAAGTCTTCTGCTCTAAAGTTTAAAGGCAGGCACCTGTTCAACAAAAAATCCACCAAATAAATATCGTTCTGGTTTGATCATTTTGCTACAATGGGAAGAACTAAGAGATTAAATGCCTTCTACTCCCTAAAGATATAACCTCCCTGGATTGATAAGGTAAACAAAACTAACCTTTTTATTGTGGCAATTATTCTTGTACATCTGGAAGTTCCTTAAATAAAAAGTTAGTTTTACGTTTCCATAGAGGTATTTCAATCTGAAGAACTAGGCTGCACAGACTATTTTGATTAAACACAGAAGAAACAAAGTTGATGAAAAGAACAGGACACTCTCCCCTGACAGTGAGGAACTGTGTACGTTCAGTATGGCTAGAAAAGGATTAACAGGACAAGGAGAACAGATTTATAAAAATATAGCTCATTAGAGTCCAAAGAAAAGAAATATTTCTGGCAGACCAACCATAACTCAAGCCGACCTGTACCAGCTTCTTAGTGTATATGAAGAAGCTTTAAGCTCCTACACAGATATTGCATAAAGGCCAAATACACAGATAAAGGGAGGAAGAAAGGTACCAAGAAGATACAGGTTATACTTGGATCTACACTTAGTTGTACATTGATGGAATTGCTCAGGATGAAAAAGGGGTCAGTGTGGCAGACAGAAAAGATGGAAAAAAGATGAGAAAACGCTTTTTTTCCCCTGTTCTGTTCTCCAACTATTGTATCTCTGGCAGTAAGTATATTTACTGATATACCTTATAGATCCTCTACTTTTACATAACTGGTGAATAAATATAAGGTCAAAACAATATGCACTGAGTATGAGTATGTATTGTTACACAACAGGAAGAGAGAAGAAGACGACTAGCACTGGGAGTACAATTGAACTAAATTGGACCAAATATCACCAAGAATAAAAATCTATTTTAATTGACAGAAGTTGTTTGTCTTACAACCCAACTGAATCAGATATTCTTATCTTTCCATCTTTCTATCACTATTGTTAATTATATACTCGTAAGACTTCAAATCTATGTTAATATATAACCAGGAATCCTCCTAAACTGTGTCTGCAGGTGATTACAGGCAGAATCAAAAAAAGTCTGCAGAACTGATAAACATTATAGAATAGTTCTACTTGTTTTCTGACGAACAATAAAAATCAAATCCTCCTAAAGATCAAGGATGTTTTGATACCTATTTCTTGCTCTGGCCATGCTTTTAGATTTTCTTCTTTCAAAACGTTCTTCATCTGAAGAGGTTGTATCACTGCTGTGAATGGCATGCTTCTTTCTCCTATTGAAGTGGCAAAATGAACTCAGTCCTTTTTGCAGTAGAATGACACATTTTAATTCTTTTATAAAAAACAAAATTTAAACAGCAAGTACAGTACAGTTCAGGTTTAAGATGCATGCAAATTTTAGTTTTATTAAGTATCAAAATAATCTCAATGGGGAGTAACATCTGATTTCAACATGACCACTACTAAAACAGTAGATCCCCATAAGATACGTGGTCCAGTCCATGTTACCTCAGCAAGTGTGACTGAGTATTCAGACAATAAGCTGCTCGAGTTCATCAGGCAGCAACTGTACTTAGGAAAGCTTCCAGCCACATCAGGATGTCCTTACTCAGTCTGGTGCTTCCCTTTAAGTATTCTTCGAACAAATTCCGTATTTCCTAAAGCATATGGTCTCTTTTTATGAGGTCATTAATTCTGAGTAGCAGAACAGTTTTACAAAATACTTGTACTGTAGTTTAACTTCTGCTCTGAATCTAAGTATAATTATTCAAAGTCTGCATGAACTATTTCTTATTTTACTATGACAATATTTCAGAAAACTGAGTATTTCAGAAATATTAGAGAATGTACATTACATTTTCTGTACAAAAAGGTGCTCAGCTTGATATCAGTTTGAAAAAAGTCAGCAACTCTTTTCTGTACTTGCAGCACCCCTGTCTCCATTCTGTTTATCACAAACCTTCTACTGGTATTATGAAGTACTATGAAATTCATTTTTGTGTGCTGATCAGGATCTGAACCCAAGATACAATTCAACACACACAAGTGTGAATGAACTGTACAATCACTGATGAGCATTTTGAAAATCAAAAGCTAACAGAAACATACTGAGAAAAGCAAACAACAACGTACCAAAGACTGTCACTTACCTGATATGGCTTCTTCTTGCAGGAGATCTGTGAATATCAAACAGTGTATTTTCCCTCTTTTTCTGATGAGCTGGCACTAAGTAAGAGAAGTTGCATGTTTGTAACATCAATTACAAAAGAATAATAATCTGAATGAGGAACTAATGTAAATGCAGCACAAAAGTGCTGAATTATTGCTTTACCAATCATGTTACTGAAGGGGGAGAGGAGGAAAAACAAAACTCTTATGCTTTGTTTCACAGAATGTAATTCATTCAGGGCACCAGCATTTTTAGTTTATTTGCAGGGCATGAAACCACCACATACAGAAACCTCTTCACAGCTGGTAATAATGGATGCCTTGAAATTTCTCTGAACAAATGAAGCACAGCTTTTCTCTATCACAGACTCAATTTCCAAGCTGCCTTAAGATAAAGGACACCACATACAACACTAATCTAAACAAAATATGCACAGAATACATTATTTTAAACAAAAGTATTAAAATGTTCAAAATCAAGAGAAACTACGCTGAATCCTGTATGGCTCCTTAACGGTATGTCCTGTGAGGAACGGCTAAGGACACAGGGTTTGTCCAGTCTAGTTTGCAGAAAGGAGGCTGAGGGACAACAGCTTCCTAAGGAGAGGAAGAGGAGAGGGAGTTGCCAATCTCGCCTCCCTGGGATCCAGTGACAGGACATGTGGGAATGGTTCAAAACTGCATCAGGGCAAATTCAGACTTGACATTAGGAAATGTTTCTTTGCTGAGAGGGCTCTCAAACATTGGATTAGGCTTCCTAGATAGGTGGTCGATGCCCCAAGCCTGTCAGTGTTGAAGAGGCATCTGGATCATGCCCTTAAATGCTTGTAACTTTTAGTCAGCCTTGCGTTGCATGGGAACTCAGTCAGAGATGAAGAGTAGTCATCCAACTTTTCCCTTCCCACACCCATGGTATTCTCGGAGGTCAGCAGAGCAGGACTCCATGAGCACTGTCTAGTTCCTCACCTATTGGAGGGGCCTGGTATCTTTCAACAGTTTTTCTCTGTCTGAGATTATATGGCCGATCATTTTCTTCTCCCTCAGCTTCTTCTACTTCTATATCTCCATCTTCTTCCTGAGACTCTGTTGGGGCGAAAAATATTTTCAGAACACTTCTACTTGATGCCAGAGCTATCTTCATCCTAAAAATTAACATTGCAATGGTCACTGAGAATTATTCCCCCTCATATTAATTAACACAAACTGGCAAATCACTGGAAATTTGAAGATAAATCTACAGCAAATTCCTTCTAGTTTCCCCATAGAAAGTTGTGGAAAAACAACAGAAAGAAGAATAAATGCAGTCAAATTAGTTTTAGTTGTGAAGTATCACTTCTACTACCTTTTCTTCAGTAACTATCCTTCAAATTAAGAATAATGTCTTTTGTCTCTTTTCCCATGGGAGCCTCAGAAAATCTAGTATTTGACACAGCATGAAAATAAGTACAACTTTACTAGGCCCAATAACATTTTTACACAAAGCAAATAACACGCTGTATAAAGGTCCATCTATTAACAGGATCAGACTTTCTGTCCATGGATCTCAGAATTAAGACTACATTCTTATTAACTGCAACAGACCGTACCTCTCCCAGCAGTTTCAGTTCAAAATCAAGATACACTATGCTGAACCCTGTATGGATCCCTGAAGTTCGAGTCTGATTTCTTAAGGAAGCCAAGTAGGCTGTTGACCATGCCATCAAAGTTAGCCATAATCCCTTCTTTCTCAATACTTTTTGAATCCACTAGCCAGTTTAATCCAAACTTTTAAAGGAAAGTAGAATTTCAAATGCAGTTGTATGTCTACAAGCCTTCTAAAATTCAGTAAATGGATAGAAAACAGAGACTTTAATTAATACATTTCCCAAACGCAGGATGCAGAACTATTACACATTCCTCCTGGTAATGGTCACCTAGCATACAAGAAATAGCAAGCCAGTTAGAATATGCATAGTTGTAAGCCTACATGCATCACATCCTGGCTTCCACCAGAAGATTGTTATACCGATTATTAGGAAAGTTCCAATTACTTACTGTTACAAAAAAGAGGAGTATGGAAACATAGTATATAAAAATGTAGAAAACAGGCTTCGTTTTGATACTTTCAGATAAACTTGCTTTTGTTTAAAGAAAAATATGTAGAGATCTCCAAAACTTCTTGTACTTTACTGCAAATAAGTACTTATTTGTAGTACTGTACTTTACTGTATTTGCAGTACAGTACTGAAGTGTACTTATTTGCAATAGTCTTATAATTGTTCTATTTAATAACTCCAAACCCATATCCAAAACCAAATTACTTTCTGTAGTGCAATATAGGGCTATCTTGCATTGAGAAGAGCTTTGGGTTTTAAGTATTTCAGACAAACCCTTACAATTCTTTACAACCCATACCTTCTTCTTCCCCTTCTGTGGACACTTCATGGTGGTTCTGAATCCCATAGCTATTTCTCCTCAGTGATTTCCTCCTTCTTTTCACTCGAGAATACATATCCATGTTTTCCTGGAATAAAATTCACATACACCCCCATCAGTACCGTCCCATGTCGCTCAATGTTAGCCTGCAGTTCAGTAAGCAACACTCCACACAATCTCTATCGCCTAAGTGTTTTTCAACAAAGCCCTCCACAGGTAGACTACAAAACCAGTCTCATTTCATAAGTTTCTCAGATAGTGCCTAAGTCCATCTAATACACAGTTAACATCAGTATCAAGCCGGTTTAGGGAACAAAGCACGTGACAGTCCCTGGTCCTGTTTTCAGACTACCAGAGTGTGCTTCAAACCAAAGGAGAACCACCACAGTACATCATGAGAGCACAGCAGTCAGTTCAGCAATAAAGAAAACATTATTTAGTATATATTATTAATACTGTTCTGAATTTATCAAGTTTTTAATGTTATCCACTGAAGAGGATTTGAAACCTTTTAATGGAGCTACAGACAAATGCATAGAGACTGCAAAAACAAATGCACTTCCCTTTGATATTACTTTTATCCAAGATCTGGGACACTCCGCACTTACAAATTCTGTATCTGTCCACATCCGTAGCCGTTCTACTTCCCCAGACCGCCTATTTCTCCTGATGTTAATATTATCCATTTCCTGTAGGACAGCTTCAGCAGTACTAAAATACATGCAACAGTTAACACAAAAAAATTTAGTCTTAAAATAGTAGACATGCACAACTTTTTATATAACATCCATCAACTTAACACACAGACCTTGGCTATCCAAGATCTACAAGTCAACTAAATATACAAATTAATTAAAATCTGAAAATTTTAGGATAGCTACTTGAATTTATCAATTAACAACAAAACCAACCATAATAAGGAAAACTGAAAGATGAACCTACAGAATACAAGCAAAAGAAGAAATGCTGATGCTATTAAAATTCAAGGTTCAAATCAGTCTGCAGCTTCTTAAACATCTTAAAAAATTTTTTTGCTCAGTGTAAATTGTAGCACATAAATTTGTAACTGCTTAGATGTTAGATTAGGTGTCAAATAAGATTATGTTTCTAGAATAAGAAAGTAAAGCCTTTTACCTACATAATTACAATACTGGGAAAGCAATTAATGCCTCCACCCCATAAGCTTTACAGCTTCTTACCCTGGCCTCAGAAAGTCACTAATACATAAAGGTTTGGGTTTTTTAAATGTTAAATCAATAACACCTAGAATTTCATCATTCAGCATGTGACCTCACTACCATTTCTCTTCTACTATTTAATTAGTCTAAATTTTCATTATCTGAAGTATTTGTAAACAGCTGTCAAAACCATGGAGGTGTATAAATAATAACCTTGGCCAAGATGCTCCATTGCTAAGGAAGAAAACTAGAGAGTATTACCCAGGCCAAGTCAATTATTTGGCCACCTGTCCTGAACACCAAGTTACTGCTTTCCACAGATATCATTGGAGACTTCCACTGGAATTCTACTATAATTTTATAATAATTGTAAGAAGGCAGGAACTTTCACTTCCTTTCTTTCCAGCTGTTTAAAAGTAAATCTAAAGGGTGAAGCCTGCCTAGAAAGAAGTCTGTAAAGTTCTAGTTACAGAAGATGGTAAAGTCGAGATTTCATTATGGATGTCCCTCTCAGTTTTAAACAATTCTTCTAAAATATCTGTCATGTGACATAACCATTTCAAGTAAAATGATGTGGCAGTTTGCTACCAAAGAAAATAGGGTTGGAGGGACCTGGAAAAGCCCACCTGCTCTGCCAGGCAAGAACAAACTACACAATACCTAAATCATTCCTGACAGACATTTGTCTAACCTGTTCTTAAAAATCTCCAGTGATTATGGGACACGCTGTTATCAGTGTGAAGGGTACAAGTTCATATACAGACTTCAGTACCATGATCTTATCAAATTACAGACTTCATGGCAGACTTTTTCCTATTGTCAATGTGGAGAGGGACATTCAACTGCAACTAGAAAAAATAAATGTAACTCAATGTAAATTTGTAAACTGATACCAAGTACTTACTGAGCAAATTGAAAAAGAAGATTAAATTAATAAAGGTTCAACAGAATGCATTTAACAATAAAGATCATACTTGGCAAGTAAATGTTTGTTTAAATCATTTTCCAAGAGCAAGCAGTCTCTCACAGATGTGACTATTAAAATCCATTTTACAGGTGGGAAAATGGTAACGTATTAAGTGACCTGCCCAGGGCCACACAGAAATAATATTTCAAGAAAAGTATTTCTGGCTCCCATTCCTATGCTCAGACCAGACCGTGACTCCCTCTCTGACCTACTTTGTCTGCACAGTAAATGCCAAAAAGTGACACCCACCCTGTGTGAATTACTAACAAATGGTAAAAACAAAAACAAAAACAAGCTACGAACTTTTGGTATTTTATGATCAAAATCATACAAGCAAAATCTAGAACGCTTCCAAGCACTGTTGCTGATCACCAATTTACATCACATTTAGGGTATCACTACATAAACAGGTTACTAAGAAACAAACTACAGTGTGGATTTACAGCATGTCAGCCACTCTGCAATAACTGCCAACATACACAGTTTTATCCAGGTGTAAACACAGAGTAGCTTACTCCTCAATGGAAGTCTGGTAAGTTGCTTTGCATTTAGAGCATGGATAACACAGGCAGTTACAGCACAGGACCCAGCCTGTAACTCAAACCACAATCTAGCTTACCTCAATGCTAATACATTCCCAGAGTAAAACACATAGATGGCACTGGAAGACAAGGTTTTCTAACTTTAAAAAAAAATCATTAAGATGCTTTGTGAATACAACTGAAGTATCCCCACATACCTGTTTACTAGCTGATCAAACAATAAACTCTGATTCAAAGTTTCAAATCTGTTTTTCCTGGACCGACAACTTTTTCTGACTTCTATATCTCCGTTTATGCAAGCATGGTCCCCATCTCCCTTTTTTTCCCCTCGAAGGGGGTGGCTTTTGAGAGCTAAGAGAAATTTGTATTACTACTTCAAAATGCAGGAAACAACATTTTCACAAATAAGAATTAGTAAGAGAATACTTTGCAAGGACAATAAAACAAAAGTTATGGAGCACAGTATAAGCACTCATATTCACTAAAGAAATATATTTTTTAACTTCCTATCATAGTTATTTTACAAGCTATTTCTTCAGACTCAAGCTTGTTTCCTTATATGATAATCTTATTTTATTATGAAAATTTGGCATTCAAATATCCATTTAATATTTTTAAGTTAAAATCAACACTAAAATGCACACTTGGCCCCCAGTTTCAACCCTTAGTCTTTCAAGTACAGTATCAAAAGGTCAGATATAACATATTGATTTCACAAGCAAATCTATACCAGCTACTCTGTACAGTGCCATACAAAAAGAGATCCCACTCCGGATTGTTCCTCAGGCATCACAATAAATAATAAAAATACCAAATATGCTTATGGGTTAACATATAGAGCCAACACAGAACTAAACGAGACAGAATTGATGAAAAAGGGACACGAAAGACAAAGCGATTTTAGCTGAGATATGCAATGAGGTGGCAAGTTTGTAAGGTACAAGCATATAGGAAAAGTGTTTAAGGTAGCAGGAGCTGCAGACAAGGCAGGTCTCTCTAAAGCAATAGCAGGGTTATGTAAAGAACCACAAAAGGCCAAATTTTAAATGAGCAAAGAGAGTAAGTAAATTAAAGAGACCAGCTGGGAGAGGATGGCCAAAATTGGTTCATAACAGTAAATTTGGGAATTAAGGAAAACATCACGATTGTGGCCAAGAGGTCTGAATTGAGAAGAGAAATGGAATTTCATCTAAGAATGTTCCCCATGTCCATAGAGAGCATCCAAGATGTTGACAGAAGAAAACTGAGCCAAAACAATAACTTCTCTGCTCAAAATGGTCAGAGTAATCAGTAAAGTTATCAAAAATATATGCAACTGAAAATCATTGACATAAATTGTTAAATGTAAAAGTAGATAGAAGAGGTCCACTGTAATACACTTACATAAGCTACGTCCATTTGGAAGTGTAGCACCAGGCTGAGAAGTTAACCTAGGAAACAATTGTATTAGACACACAAATAATGTTAACACTCTTTTGCCAAGCAGAAGTTATACTGTGAAAATAAACTTTAAACACAGAATGTTACACCATATACTATGACTTCAAAATCTTTGTGACATGTAGCCTCTGAAGAGTCTGCTTCATGCCCAACATTGGAATGAGGACAAAATTGCCAAATACCAATTATATGAATCCCCCCAATTATCTAAACATCTCTTTTATTAATCCCTCCAGTGTTCCCTCATGCCACGTCCTACTATTAACTCTCCCCTTAAGTTTCAGACCAGAAACTTAATATAGCTCTTCAAAGGCAATTATCATTCAAACACTTTGGATAAACCAGTAGAAGCAACAAAACTTTGGGGAAAAGGCTCAGCAATTCAAGATAACTATTAGACCCACAGCTTTGGATGCAAAGACATGTCACAGTGGGTTCTACATGAGTAACGATAAGAGTTGCAGTATGCTGGCCAAATTTTCATTTGACATAGCAATCTAAATTCTCCTAGCCACATTAAGTATCTTTTTATTTCTCAGCATTTTTAACATGTACCAGTCTACGCTTATAAACAAAAGAAATAGAAGGTGCATGAGTTTCAGTACATTCACAGATGACCATGGCACATAATATGCTATATTTAATATATTCTGTTATAAAAGGGAAAAACAAGCAAAAAAAGAGATCTATTTTAAGATTTACATAGTTTTTAAATATAATTCATCCCAGCAGATGTCTAATAGAGAATTACAGTCATTCTTACATACAAAGCATTGCAAGAATGATTTTGATTTTTACATAAATATGAAATACACAGCTGCAAAAGAATCAGTATTAAATGAAAGGTCAAGGCCCAGGAACATACTGTCTTATAATTACTTGTAATCATGTGAAGAACCTTATGAACACTGGAATGTTTTGTAAAATATTATTAATCAGAGTTATAAAACGAAACTAATTGCTTCTCTTTCAAGTTATAAAAATGTGGTAGGATTGAGGCTATATTTACTAAAATACAGTAATTTACTTGAGTCCTTATAACCAAAGAGAGGCTGAAAACAACAACGGAAAGAAACTTGACCATTATCCATTCCACAGATGATAACACTGATTTCCTAATTAAAATATGTCTTCTTATAGCTTGAGTACATAAAAATACCAATTAAGTCACTAAATTCGGATGTATGAAGAAACTAGAATTCAGACTGCATCTCAAAATTACTTTCCATTTTTGCACAAATACACATAGAAAGAAAACACAAAGATGAGAGGATTGATGTAGCCCACGTCCATAGTCTTTTTCCACTAAAAGAAAGTTGTATGAAAACAACACTCTTCAAAAGTACTCTTGAGCATGAGCTGCAGCTCACTGCAGAAATAGCATAAGCAGGTTAACGATACACGAAAAATTGGTATGAATTCATTTTTCTCTTGGCACCAAGTTACCTGGACTGTCCAGTTGAGATGCTCCATTCCTCTCGCTGCCCAGTACTGCGTGATTTTGATTTGTCTTTGCACACAGGATCAGCATGTTTTGAGGTACGTTTGGCGGGAGGAGATACGTGGCTATCACTCAAACTAGCATCACTACCTTCATCTTTCTGAAAAGTAAAAAACATCAGGCCATACTTAATTGCCTCATTTTTATGTAACCTAAGAGAAGAGGAGGAAACTACAGCTTAGTAAAAGGGAAGTCTCTATCGCCAGCTTGTATGAAATACTAAAAATATTTGTTCTGAAAATATTACCAGAAGCTGTAAGAATATTGAATTTTAAATATTAAACTATTCTATAATACTTCACATATATTTCTGAACACACATTCAGTTTCTCTAACTCACTATATTTTGCATATCATACATGACACTGCTACGGTTACCCTACTTGCAAAAGAACTAATAGTGCAGTAAAGAGAAAAAAGGCCTTAGGAAAATTAAGATATGTAGAAACACAGCATGAATTTATTCTACTGACATTATCTGTGCCATTAAAATGCTTAAACAGTCACATTATGCTCTTCCTTCTTGTAAGAGTTTTGCAAGACCCTGTTCTCTTCTTTAGACTGTCAAACACAAATAGGACTAACTGCAAGTGCACTTCATACTTCCATGGTGCTTTTTGTCTAATGTGTTCATTAACAGCATTATACACACCAACAACATTAGTCTTAACACCAATAAGAATCACCTACACACTATCAGAGGGGTTTTCTGTCATGCTTATCAGGGGTAATGTATACAGAAATTCAAAGACAGTAGCAAGGGATTACTTCAGAGCTGCACATAAGAAATGGTCAGACAGCAAATTTTGGAGGATCTGCTTCTGTTACGGTGAACTACAAAAAAAATTAAAATCAAGATTCTATAAATTCATACATAATTTATAATTGTAGCTTACGGAAACTGTCTTCATTGAAAACTCTAAATATCCTCCCTTGCAACGACAGAGTAACTAATTTCCAAATATGAAGGTCCAGGAATTGTCAGTAAGTGCTTAAGAACAGAAGATAATTTTACTTATATGCAAGGAGATAATCACAGAAGGTCCATTTGTTCATCATGCTTATTAATAACAACAATCTGATTTGTACTCCAGATAATTCAACATCCTGATGTCTCACGTACTCAAGAAAATTAAAAAGAAAAAAAGTCTTGTTCTGAAGAGAGGAAGACAGACTATCACAGCACAGTACTTAAAAAGTGGCAAAGCCTAAAAAAGCCCAAATGTACAGGTGCAGCTCGACAAGACAGCTCAGCACCACTGAACCTTGGGACTGGCCCATGCACACCCTACCTGGCTGCACCACTCCAACTTCCTTTGAACTTCCTCTGATGTTTCTTTGACCCACCACAGATGAAACCCACTCAAAAGTTCATACTCCTCTGGTTATATTAGCTTCCTACCCGGTTAGTAGGAAGTTAGTGAGGTGAATAATTTCACTGAGGAATCAGACAAGTAAAAAGACAGTGCAAGAAAAAAACCATGAGGTGAGGACAGGACCACTGCCTACAGGAAGAGCAAGCTGTGAGTGAAACAGGCTGCCTGCAATATGACTTAACATTTTGTCCCCCACTATGTATTATTAACAAATATTAACTAATATTAAATACTTACAATACTAATAAATACTGTATTCATTATGATATAATCTTTATTTACTGAATATGCTACATGTGGGCTTTATTTATAAACCCACATAAAAAAAAGGTATTTTCATAACTCTGCAACTCCAAAATACCAACTTTTCACAAAATTTTAATAGTGCACATATTTTCTGCTGAGTTCTGTAAGCATTTGTGTATGTACTTTTTGCTTTAATCAGCCACATGTTTATTTGTGTGCTTAAATACATCATTGCTAAATCAATTTTAGTAACTACTTACTGAAACTACAAGAGCTACCCTGTGCGGGACAGAAGCAGAGTTTCAAGGTAAGCCACAGAACCAGTTTTAAACCGGCTAGGCAAGACAGAGAAAATGAAACTAAGGAAGAGGAACAAGCATATAATGAAGCTTTACAAGGGCTAACATTAAAGCTATTTTGTGAGCAGTGAAATTAATAATGCACAGGTTCCTATACCTCATCTTTCTACCTCTTCCCATGCAAAACTCCTAACTCCTCCCAGGTCTCCTGTGTCCACCTTTCTCTGCATTTCCTCCAGCTACCTGCCTCTGGTCCCAAGTCTCAAAATTAACTAGTATTCCTCATTTGTCCTATCCTTTTATTGGTCAAATGCAACGCAGCAATGTAGTTACTTTGGAGTTACGTGCATGTCAAGTGGCCAGCTGGCAGGTAAGCCAAAATATCAGCGATTAACCTGGAGACAAAATCAACTACATCAGGTCTCCCTCTGCTACTGAATTACCAATATTCACAAAATTTATAAATGCTGAGTATCTTTGAGATCTCTAAATCAGTCAAATGAACAGATACTGGCCAACAGCTTCAAAAACTGGGAGGGGAGGCTAACCATCAGTGTGATCACATCGGTGCCATTGCCTAAGGAGCTGGACTAGTAATGAAGGGGTTTACTTAACGGAGGTGATAATTCCTGGTTATTCTTTGTTTAGAATACTATTTTCAGTTGGGCTTTATTTGTCTGCATATTAACTGTACAGAGTAATTTAGCAGGTACAAAGCAAGTCTAAATTTTAAGACAGTTAAGCCCAAATATTAATTTAAGTTAGGATGCCTGCTGTAGTAGACGCTCTAACATGCAAAAAGTTTTACCATGAAGCAGTGACAAAGCTACTACAATGAGAAATCACTGTGATTTTAGATGTATCTAGTAAGAATCCAAGCTCCATTTTCCAGTTAACAATCTTAAAAATTCAAGCTCTAAGGAATCAAATCACACCTAGTCTGCCATCCAGAAATCTCACCTACCTACAGTAAAATACCGAGATGGAGCTTTCACTACACTCAAGAGATTAGCCAAATTGGGATATGCTACAACAAGAAAAGAAATTAATTTCAGTTTGAGAAGCCTTTTCAGAGAGCAGTCTATCCACTGCTTCCTCCCATTTATAGCAAAAGAGGTCTAATGATTCCACTGCACTCAGCTTGCTCCCTCAAGTAACTGGGTCTCAAACCATTTATACGTTTTATGATTAAAAATAGTACTTCAGTTCAACTCAGAAACTTGTTACTTAACAGTACACAGATCATGAAAATGTTCTGGGACTAGAAAGAGTAATGTATGATACAAGCTTCAAACTTAAAAATTAAGAAATTAATAATGCAATTGCAGAAGTAGGAACCAATGCACTGAACTCCAAGCTCCTAATGAAACACTGGCACTGAAGCAAACGCACTCACATGCTGAGAGAATGCAGAGAATATGAATTAATAAAATCTTAATCATGTCATAAATTGCCTGAAGGCATACCAAAGCCACAAAGAAAAAGCAAGCATGGAAGAATCAAAAAATGAGTTTACGTAGTGTCGGGTAGCACAAAGAGGTAAACAATATTTACTGCAACGGTATTGATCTACCAGAAACGAGACCCACCAAATTCAAGCTGTAATCCAGAACAACCAGAATCCAGCACAGCTTCCCACGGAAAGCACTTTCAGTACAGTGAGTAAGTAAATAACTGGAGTTAACAGGATACAATCCACGGTCTAGACTGGCAAAACAGTCTTCATTATTTTTGGATTCAAGAGTAAAATGGAATGTGACAGGTGAATGAATACTGCACTTTCACTGTTGAGCTAAGATTCAACAGCATGTCTTGCAGAGGTAGTGGGCAAACACTGGAAACACACCTTCACTGAATGCAGTTGACTGCTGGTAGCGCTGAATCTAGAAACAAAATCTAAAATGAGTAAGTAAATAAAGCAGTAAGATAAATATAGCTGCATAGTTACTCGTTTTCTCTACTTTTTATGAAAAGGAGAAAGATGGAAAACGTGTTTATAATACACACATTCATGAACAAGCTATAAAAACACTGCTATACAATATTACCTGTAGTCTCTTCCATATCCATCCCTGAATTTCAAAATAAGAATTTGATCCTAACAGAGCTTAATTTATAGGACAGGCAAGTCCTTAAGTTTTGAAAGAGCACAAACTAGAAATAAGTTAACAAAACTGACAACTTGTTAATCTATCCTTTTAGGGAAAAAGTGACACCACCAATATAGCCTTTCAGTGTGACTGAAGGACACACATACAAAGGGAGGCCTCACTGACAAGGGCTTGCCTTCAGCTGTGTCACAGGGACCACCCAGTTAAAGCATGATAGCTGATTAATTTTAAAGTCAGAATACAAAGATCACTTCTGGCATAGTGAAGGGGAGTCCATTTCTTCTGGTTTTTAAGCTGAACCTCCCGGCCAAGAGAATATCCAAAGAACTCCTCGCTACACTGCTGGTCTCAACGCTCCAAGATCCACAAGTCTTGGTAAGACAGGATGAGTATGAACCACTTCTATTCCTGTCATCTTTAAGTACACGAAGGCAAGTTCGTCGAGTTTTTGAGTAAGGGCTGACATTCAAACCACAACCACACCTTGCAATTTCTGAAAAAGACTCCATCTGGTTTGCCACAGGTTCGGCTGTAGTAAAACACAGGCATGCAGACATGAATATTTGACTTTTCCACCATGGTCAAACTTGCTCTCCTTGCCATCCACTTTGTGGGTCACACCCTTCTCATAAGCCTCTGACACACCCTGAAAGTTAGCACAATTGCTCATGCAACTTCACAAGTCAGACATGAGAGTTTCCAACCTAGTGTCTTAAACCTTTCAGCATCTATGTTTTTCTCTTTGCTATGACCTCTTCCTTTGTCTAAGACATGAAATTAAGACACAATAACATTCAATCTTCAACTGATCCATGCTATTCCTCTGCATTTTGTTAGAAGTACATACTATTTTAAACAGTTTTTCTTTTTGCCCCACTGACAAGCACAAAACACCCCAAAATTTACTTTTGTCTCAATAGTAACATTTTCAAGAAATTTGCTTTAGCTACAGGTTTTCAAAAGTCTCTGCTTCTAACTTCAGTTTATTCTTTGCTTCTGATATTTAAAATAACTTTTTCCTGACTCTCTGAAAAGACAATGACTTGAGACATCTCGATCTATTTTTAC